CGGGGAGGACTTCCAGGCGGTGGCAGCAGCTATGCAGGCGAACCCGGCGGTGGTCCTGCTCGACAGCGGCTGCTCGCACCACCTGATAGGGACGAAGGAGGCCTTCGTGGACCTGCAGCCGAGCGGCGACGAGAAGCACGTGCGTGGCTTCAATGGGGCGCTGCAGGACGTTCAGGGTCGCGGCACTGTCGCTCTGCAAGGGGAGGCCGGGAAGCAGGTGCTCATCCCCGACGTGCTCTACGTCCCGGGCGTGCGAGAAAACCTGCTTTCGGCCGGCCAGCTGAAGGAGCACGGCGTGAAGCTGCAGGAGGACGGCGACGGGATGCTCCTCGTCTCAGCGGCGGGAAAGGTGCTCGGCCGAGCAACTTACACCGGGCGTGTACTCTGCACCGACCTGCGCCCCTGCTCGGCCAAGCAAACGACGCCCACCACGGAGGTCGTTGCCCTGCGGGCGATCGTCTCGGCGACGAAGGCAACGCCGGGCAGAATACATGCGAGGCTTGCATACGTCGGCATGGACACCATTCGGAGCTCGGCGAAGCACGAGGTCGCCACCGGGCTGGACCTCCAGTCGGCGTCCGGTGCCGACTCACCGTGTGTTTCGTGCGTCGGTGGGAAGCTGGTGCGACACACCTTCCCCGACAAAGGCTCCGGCGCTGACGAAGTACTGGCCGTCGTGCACATCGACCTGTGCGGGCCGTTTCGTGTGGCTGCCAAGGATGGCAGCCTGTACTTCTTGCTGCTGAATGACCGCAAGACCCGCTACGTGTGGGTGAGGCCGGTCGCCAAGAAGTCGGATGCATTGCGGGAGTTCGTGCAGTGGCTGGCGGTGGCCGAGAGGCAGACGAAGAGGTCGGTGTTGATGCTGTGCTCTGACCAGGGAGGGGAGTTCCTCGGGCAGCAGTTCACCGACTTCGTGAACGGGAAGGGGATCGTCCACGACCTGACCTGCCCGTACACCCCGCAGCAGAACGGCATGGCGGAGCGGGAGATGCGGACTGTGGTGGAGTCGGTGCACACGATGCTGCTGCACATGGGCGTGCAACACCACTGGTGGCACCTCGCTCTGCGGCAGGCCGTCTGGGTCCGCAACTGCCTAGAGCGGTCGGCGCTGCCGCCGGGGACGACGCCGTCCCAGCTGCTCACCGGGAAGAAGCCCGACTTGTCGCTGGCACGGGTGTGGGGCTGCATGGCGCAGTTTTTGGTCCCCGAGCAGCAGCGTGGTGGGAAGCTGCAGCCGAAGGCCCGGTGGGGCCTTCACCTCGACGTGTCGGAGGAGAGCAAGGGCTGGGAGCTCCTCGACCTCGCTGACAACTGCGTGGTCACCACGTCGGACGTGGTGTTCTACGAATGCATGTCGCTGGAAGTGTGGCAGTCGGCGCACGGGCCGGCGTCAGGGCGGATGCCGGTTCACCCGCCAACGGACACCTCGACGGCGACTCTGCCTCTGCTCGCCGAGGTCGGTGAGCTTGCTGGAGAGGACGCCGAGGACGTCCCTGCTCCCAGATCTCCACCTGCCCCTCCCCTTGTGGCCGACTTGCATGGGCTGACCCCGACGTCTTCCTCCGGCGATGAGGGGAGAAGTGGGGCGTCACCTCTGGCGCCGGACCCAAGCATCACCGGTGGCCGACGTGATGCTGCCGGTGGCCGGCGTGATGCTGTGCAAAGCGGCGTGGGAGCGAAGCTAACGCCGACCGGGAGGCAGCAGGTGGTGCAGCCGACTTTGGTGAAGCCGGTGAAGGAGACGCCGCCTGCAGAACAGCAGCTGACAGGGGAGCAGGCAGCAGCGACGCCGACCACGGAGCAGTCAGCAACCGGGCAGTCGGCAGGGGAGCCGACCACAGGGGAGAAGTCGGCTGGGACGCCAACTGAGGTGCAGCAGGACGCCGAGGACAGCGACGACGGCGCCGATGAAGGGGACGTCGAGGAGGTCCAGCCAGGACCACGGCGTTCAGGCCGACTTCGGAGGCCGCCTGACTTCTTCGTCCCCGCTGCCTTCACCACGGTGTACGACGTGGACGGTGATGCTGACGACCTGCTGTACGACGACGCCGAGGAGGATGAGGAGTTTCCGGAGCTCGACCCCGACATGCAGGCCGACCCCGAACACCGTTGGGATAACTCGACGATGACAGTGAAGGTGGCGTTGGCAAGCTGGAAGGGTCCGGCGGTGAAGGCCGCCATGGAAGAGGAGATCCGCAGCCTCATCAACATGGGCACGTGGGAGCTGGTCGAACGCCCGCCGGGAGTTAACATCATGAAGAACCGGTGGGTGTTGATGACGAAGTACCACATCGACGACACCGTCGAGCGAGAGAAGGCGAGGCTGGTCGTGAAGGGCTTCACGCAGGTGTACGGCGCCGACTACGACGAGACGTTCGCGCCGGTGGGCAGCTACGTCACGCTGAGGATCTTCCTCAGCATCGTCGCTGTTCGCAACCTCAACCTGATGCAGCTCGACATGAAGAACGCCTTCCTGCAGAGCAAGCTCAACCGGGTGCTCTACATGTCCCAGCCGGACTACTTCAACGACGGAACCGGCCGGGTGTGCAAGCTGCTGAAGAGCCTGTACGGGCTGAAGCAATCGCTGCTGCTGTGGTACTTGGCGCTCAACGACGTGCTGGTCGGCGCCGGGTGGAAGAAGAGCCAAGTCGACGAGGCTCTGTACTTCAAGGTCGGCGACGACGGAGTGGGCTGCTGGGTGCTGGTCTACGTCGACGACCTGCTCGCCGCAAGCAGCAGCGCCGCGATGCTGGAGGAGCTGAAGGAGCTGCTGGAAGCCGCTTTCGAGCTGCGCGAGATCTCGCCAGTGCAGAAGTACCTCGGGCTGGAGATTGTGCGCGACAGGTCGGCGGGGAAGCTGTGGCTGCACCAGCAGGGCTACGCCGACAAGCTGCGTAGGCGCTTCATCAACGAGGAGCAGACCGGGCGCACCCCGAAGACGCCGGTCTCGGTCGACGCCTACGCCGGGCTCACCTTCGACGACGAGGAGGCACAGGAGCGCCAGGAGGAGGAGTACCGGCAGAAGGTCGGCTCGCTGCAGTTCGCCGCGACGACGACGAGGCCGGACATCGCCTTCGCCTGTAGCAAGCTGGGGAGCGGCCTCACGGTGAGGAGCGACCAGCACTGGCGTGAGGTCGACCACTGCCTCGCCTACCTCGCCAACACGCGTGACACCGCCCTGGAGTTCGGCGGTGGACCTGAGTCGCTAGAGCTGGTCGGCTACGTGGACGCCGACGACGCTGGTGACAAGCAGAACAGGACGAGCACGGGTGGCTACGTGTTCGTCTATGGAGGGGCCGCAGTCTCCTGGTCGAGCCAGCGCATCAAGTGCGCGACGTTGTCGTCGACCGAGTCGGAGTACGTGGCGGCCACCAAAGCCGGCAAGGAGGGACGCCGGCTTCGTTTCCTCCTTGTAGAGTTCAGGCAGCTGGACGCCGGGAAGCCGACTGTCCTGCGCGTGGACAACAAGTCGGCCATCACGGTCGCCGAGGGCATGGGGTTGACGGGCAACCTCAAACACATGGAGCGGCGACAGGCCTGGCTGCAACACATGGTGAAGCGCGGGAAGTTCTCGCTGAGGTACATCCCAACCACTGAGCAGCCGGCTGACTTCCTGACGAAGGCGCTGCACTACCCGGCCTTCAACCGGTGCTCCGTCGCAATCGGCCAGGTGCGCTTGGCCGACGTGGGCGACGGCGACGACGACGTGCAGCAGTAGGTGCCATGCCCTCTTGCATGGCTGGTGCGGTGACCGGCGTGCTGTGTGTTGTGTGCACGCTGCTGAGTTTTCTCCGAGCAGTGCTGCCGTGTGGGCTGGAGGCCCAAGCGTGAACGCGGCAGGGGAGTGTCAACGGGAGTGTTGTGTGGCCCCGTCCTCGCTTGGGCGGAGTCGACCTCGTGGTCGGATGTGCGGGGGTTGCAGCCGACCTGCAGCAGTGGGCACGGGGGCCACTGCAAGGGCGCCGAGCTGGAGGGCGCCTGGCTGGAGGGCGCCGAGCAGGAGGACGCCGTCCTGGACGCCTGGTTGGCGTCCTGGACGCTTGGACGGCGTCCTGGGAAGCTGGACGCCGACGTGGGCGTCGGCACGACTACCCGGGCGCCTGGTCGGCGTCGTGGATGCCGTGCAGGCGTCCTGGAAGGCCAGACGCCGACCTAGGCATCTGCACGGCGCCCTAGGAGCCTAGGACGCCGCCCTGGGCGTCTGCGCGGCGTCCTGGGGGCCTGGACGTCGACCTGGGCGTCCTGGGGGCCCGGACGCCGACCTAGGCGTCTGATCGGCGTCCTGGGAGGCTGGACGCCGCTCTGGAGGTCTGCACGGCGTCTTGGGCGTCTGGACGCCGACCTGGGGGTTCGGACGGCGTCCCGTGCGCCTGGACGCCGGACTGGGGACGCCGGGCAGTGGTGGCCGGCTACAGACTGTGCTGGTTGACCGGGCGTGGTTGCCCGGTCGACCGGGATACCCGGGCGACGTGCACGAGTGTCGCCGGGGTGGAGTCTGCGAGGCCGACCTCGGGGGTGGTATCCCGAGGTCGACGTGGCTGGTGGGTGCAATCGCTGGCGTGGAGTCTGCCAGGCATCTGCGCTGTGCTCGCGACAAGGTGTGGAGATCCAATCAGCTGCGCGCACCTGCGAAGCAGGTGCACCGTTGTCCTGCGGGTGCAACGCTGTGCAGCCGACTTGCTGCAGCGTTGGCAGACCGTGGACTTGCAACGTTGGCGCACCGCTACTCTGCAACGCTGGAGCGGTGCGAGCGCTGCTGCGCTGGAGCGCGGTCGACCATGCTGCGCTGGAGGTCGACCAGCAGCCTAGCTAGCTCTGATGTAGTTTGTGTTGCCAATGTTGTTGCAATTATTGTTCTGAACTTTTCCTAGTGGAACTCTTGCCAACTTTCCCCATGAACTAGCAAGTGTGTGCGCACAAGGAAACGACTAAGGAATGAACGAACGCAGAGATCACACGAGCACCCGTGCCTAGCCCGCAGCCTAGCTCCCGTTGCATCAGTTATCTCCGCAATTCGCATGAGATTCACTGCGAAACTTACCGTTGCTTAACTTCTGGCCGACCTTCGTGCGAACGCGCATGACGATATTCCAGCGGTCGCGAAAACGCTGGCTCCAATGAGAACTGGCGGCCCACTCCTTCCTCTTGTGGTGCTTCTTCATCCATGCCCTGCTCCACTTCTGCGTGTCCGACACGGAGATGGGCACGCCTTTCGCCCAATGCACACAGATGTGGCGGTAGAGCGCCTCCTCCATATCAGGGTAGTGCGGGTGACGCCCGGCACCATGCATTCGTTTCCTGCTAGTGGCTGCACCCTTGTAGACTCCAGCAACTCTCTGCCCAACCCACCGCCGAATAGATGCAACTGAAGCACCGGACTCTACGGCGGTCTTCTTCAAAGATCCAAGCTCAGCATAGCGCTTAGACCATTTCAGCTTCTCCTTCATGGTCCAGCCCCTCCGATTGCGCTTCTCTCCGCGGTTGCGAGGGGACGGCGGCCTTGCATCCAGGTTCCTCTTCGTGGGATCCCTATGTTTCTGCTTCTCAGGGTATGTCGGAATCGATCCTGCAGCTTCAGCGTAGTCGTCATCTGAATTATTAGATGGTTCAGCAGGTTCAGCAGCTGGTGCCTTCTTCTTTGGTGCCCGCTTCTTCTTCTGCTTGCCCTTCTCCGCCGCCGGTGCCCGCCGCTTTGAGGGACCTTCATCGACCTTCTGCTTGCCCTTCTCCGCCGCAGTGAGACGCTTCCATGAGGGACCTTCATCGACCTTCTGCTTGCCCTTCTCCGCTGCCGTGAAACGACCGGTTTCTTTCCGGGCGGCGTAGTCAACCCGGTGCTTCACAATACGCCGAAACAGCGGGACGTCGTCTACGTCCATCTTCCCTGGCTCGTCTTCATCACCCTCGTCCGCAGCGGCATCACCATCCTCTCCCTTGCCTTCAGGAGCTGCAGCAGCAGATGGTTCAACATCTCCAGCATGGCCACCTCCAGCTTCCGCATCACCTTCCTCATCAACTCCTGCACGCCACACTCCCGCAGCAGTGGTCATGTCCGCGTCACCATCTCCAGCACGGCCACCTCCAGCTTTCGCATCTCCTTCCTCATCATCTCATGCACGCCACACTTCAACCTCCTCATCCCCGTAGTCTTTCAGCCACAATTCGTCCTCCTCGACATCCGGATCAGATGTAGCGCGCGTCTCACCATCGCCATAGTGACCGTTTTCAGACCATTCTTCTTCGTCGTGGCCGTCGCTCGCCTCCGGGACTGACTCGACGCAGCTCTTTACGGGGGCTGCATCGTCCGACGCGACACGCTTTTTCCCCGCGGACGGTGAAGCACAGCAGATCTGGATGTTGTCGCCAGGTGAGTTAATTCGCCCGTTATTGTCAACGTAAACTGTGCCGGGCGCATCTAAAGTGACGCCCGCCGTCTTACTCCGCATCGTGAGGCATGCCTAAGGCGCAGAACGAGGAGAGGGACGAGGAGCCAGCCGAGCATAGGGGAGAGGAGTTTTTTTCGAAAGGCACGACAAGAATGAGCACGCCAACGGGTAGACCCCCCCACACAGGGTCTCAGTTTTCCTCTGCAAGGAGATCCCTCTAACAGGAAAGGACAGGTACTGCCACCATGCATAGGCGGGCACCTTTCCTGAAGCTGCCAACGTTCTGCCACGCTGCCAACTTGCTGCTTTGCTGGGTAACGTTGCCACCCTTTTAAGGGTGAGTGGTCAGGACGTGATGTGAAGTGTGGGTGGATGTCGAAACGGTCGCCCAAGTAACATCATTTGCTCACTTGTAACACCTCACAGCCAGATCTACCCTAAAATCATGAAGTATAAACATTCCTGTTTATAAGATTTATAAGACACCCGGAGAGTTCCGTTTACAAGATAAACATCACTTTTTCAAGGCGATATTGGATAAGACCCATATGTCTTATATCCGGGCGATGACGGTATCATCAATCTACTATCTTGCTCTCACACACTAGTGCAAGGTGGTTCAACCAGTTCACTACAACGCTCCCGCAATTACATCATCACGTCGAGTTTTAGCCTTGAAACTATCCCAAGGGCTTTTCTCAGCCCAACAGTCGCACGTGATATCTATGATATGTGACATATAATATGTTGTATGGCTAAAAAACGTTTATGACGATGTAAGTTTCCCTCTTGCAGAATGAATTCTTCGCAAAAGCCTATGCTGTTATAGAGTGCACAAAGAACCATCTCTATTGGCCTTGCACATAAATTTGGTGAGGACTAGTACTGATACCGTTTTATGGGTAAGTGATGCAATTGAAAAATATGGAACTTGATGACCCTTGTGGATCATTTGACAGGTGAGGTGAGGAGTGTAACCGTAAAATGGAGCAGACGAACACTTTTCAAGAATGTACATATACGCTTACAGAAGAGGCGTGTAGCGAGGTTTCCCTCCCAACCTCCTCCCTGCTCATCCCCGTTCGAACCTGCGCAGGTTCGGAGGAGTTCACCCTGTAACGTCAGCGGAACTGTTCATGCATTCTCCTTCCCGACCGTACTCGAGGTCCGCTGTTCTTTCGCGATGGCTCAGAAATTTATGTTAGTCAATATTTTACGCGTGTAACAGAGTTGTGCTGACTTGAGAAACGAGCCCGCGAGAGGTCGATCGTCGCGGGGGACGCGTCCTACCAGTCACCCCACCTTCATGCCCAACCAGCCGCCCCTGCCCCACCCCCTCAACAGAAACGAACACGTCAGCCACAGAGAGCTCCAGTGCTGCGCCCAGCCGACTTTGTATGCTACGCTGCTCCCCCGATCTGCGCAGCAGCGTTTGCTGCGCATGTCCCCCACTCGCTCCGCCGACCCTATCCATTTCTGCGGATTTGCCTTCCTGTTCCCCTGTCAGCAAAGCCCCCCCTTCCGCCACCGCAGTTCATCGCTAGGTCCCCCCTTTCCCACCATTCCCCCATACTTCCCCTGCCCTGCCCCCTCCTTCCCCACCCCCCTTCCCCCTCTCCCCCCACACTGTGTTGCGCCCAAGTCGAGTTCTAATCTCCTGCTACCACCTCGAGCACGGTGCTGAGTGGCTAGCAGCAAGGCGGTCTTGCTTGCCCTCCCTCGTAACAGACTATTAAATCTTCCCGTTTCAGCGTTCCCTCCCGCCAATTCCCCGAGGGCCGCCAGGTTAAGTGTCCTGAGCCACATCGGCTGGCTAAGAACCTTTCCCTACGGGAGTTTCCCGTCGTCGGATAGTTTACAATCGCCTACCAGCAAGCACTGCGAGTGCAGCGAGCGACAGGGACAAGGTGTGCCTATATATTGTCTCTCGCATGATCTGAAGTGAATTTCGCAACCTTGTCCTGTGTGTGCGCGTCCCTTGATGACTGAACTCCGTGAATTATCCTGATGCCATTCAATCCGTTTCAATGCATTGTTCCTTTTGTTTTTTCTCGCACGTGTTGCTGGGACAAGTAACTCCAGCTTACCACGGTTGCATTCGAGCGTTTGCCCCGTCTCCAAGCATCCATCTCACAGCGTTTACACGCGTGTGTCGATTATCCACTTGTTCCATTTCGTCGCGTCAGCATTCGTGCCTCGTGCACCTCCCGCTCTCTCTGCTTCTCCCCACGTTCGTCAGATCACGTTTAATTCGCATGAGTTCGCGCATCCTCCTCTCATTTTTAACCTATTCTTCGCGAATTTGAATCGGTCTCATCGCATACCTCATCAGCCATCCCCGTCTCTTTGTTGAATGCTTTCCCCCCTAACCACCCTCCGAAAATCTCGGCTTCTTTTTTGTCATCTCGCCCTTCAGGTCCAATCGGGTTACAACTTCGCCCGTCGCACGAGGCTCGTAAGCTGGTCCTCGAAGCTGGCGGTTGCTTCTTAGGGTGAACGTGCTAGAAACTAGGACTCGATTCGGCTGATCAAGATAGGATAGGAGCGCGAACCGTCGGCCGGCCTCACAGGAGCACGACACGTGTCCCGTCCACGTCACCATGTCGCGGTCCTATGCGAACCTCCTCGACCTATCAGGGGATGCCCCGCTGTTCACGCGCCCAGTGGCGCGCGGAAGCAAGGGCAGCCTCACCCGTTCCGCCACGGCGACGGGGACGATTGCGGACGGCGGGCGGCCAGGCGCGGGGAATCTGATGGGGCTGGGCGGGGGGGTGGATGAGGCATCGAGCTCGGGATCGGAATCGCCGTCGAGCCTGGCGCAGGAACGGTTGATTATTGTGGCGAACATGCTTCCGCTGCACGCGGAACGGGACGCCGCCACGCAGGTGAGGCGCGGGGAGGCGCTGGCGGAATGGGGAGCAAGTGGAAGAGGGGGGAGGGCGGGGGAAGGTGCGGGTGAGGCGCAGGTGCGCAAGGGGAAGATGCTGCTCGGGGGAGGGGAGGGGGGGGGAGTTGAATGGGGGGGGGAAAGAGGGAGGCGAGGGAAAGAGTGGGGGGGGGAGGTAGGAGGAATAAGATCGGTCTAATCGCGGATTGGGGAGGAATGGGGGGTCGTTGCGCATGGGCGGATGGGCTAAATGTGTGGTTTGCGGGGGGCTACAATGTGGGGCGGGTATCCCATGTAAATTTGTGATTGCCGCCTGTACGGGGCTGTGCGGTATGTATGCACGTGCATGTGCGGTATAAGAGAGAGGAAAGTGCGTGGTGGAGAACGAAAAGGGGAGAAATGGATGGGGGAGGCGAGCGGACAAGAGGGAGGCATACTGGTTGGAAGCAGGGAGGACGACAGGAGGGCAGGGGGGGTGTGCGAACAAGAGGGGGCCGTGGGGTCGTATGAAATGGATGCACTTTTGAGGCGCCTCGTAAGGGGTCCTTTGGAAATGGATGCAAATCATAGAGAGAGTGAGAAGATGTGAAGTGAAAGAGGCGGCAGGAGAGGGCGAGGGAGGAAGGGAGCAGAGAGGGGCTTGGTTGCAGAAGAAAAGGGAGGAAAGAGAGAGTCCATGTGTGTGTAGGCGCGCGCACACGCAATTAGAGAGGGAGACAAAGAGAGACTCTAACCCTTGCTGCTATGTTTTGCATGCTATCTATCCATGATGTACAATCCCCCCTCTCCCACACCCCCGCTTCTCCCCCACCCCCACCCCCACCGCCCCATGGCCCCACTGCCCTTCTGCCCCACTGTCCCACTCCCCACACTGCCTACGCGCCACACTGCCCACGCTGCCCACACTACCCCAACCCACCCCACGGCACGGCGTGGCATGGAGCAGGAGTGGGCGTTCAGGTGGGACGAGGACGCGCTGCTGCTGCAGATGAAGGACGGCATCACAGCAGGCAGCGACGAGGACATGGAGATCATCTACATCGGCTCGCTCAAGGTGCGGAGATGTTGGTGTGCCGGGCATGTGTGACGTGTGTCTGTCTGTGTGCTGTGCACGTGGCATGCACTCGCTCTTCTCTTCCCCCACCGCCTTTCCTGAGGCACCAGCGGGCAGCGACGAGGACATGGAGATCATCTACATCGGCTCGCTCAAGGTGCGCTGGAGCTGCCCCTGAGAACTCGCAAAAGCATAGCTTGCTTCTGTCCTGTGGAGCAAGTGAAGTGCAAGCTTGGTGCCGGAATGAGGATTCGTGTTGGCGGCCAAGGGTGTACACAAACTGTTGCTCCGGCAGATGCAAGAGCTGAGCATCACCCGGAATGGGATCCGAGTTGGCGTCACTGTATCTGCTTCACGTGTTTGGCACGTGTAGCATTCCAAGTGCCATGTGGTGAGGTGCTGTGTGGTGAGGTGCTGTGTGGTGAGGTGCTGAGTGGTGAGATGCCTCAATCACTGTGCTTCCTGCCTTTGGCATCCTCTGTTGTCCGTGTGTGTGTGTGTGAGAATGCATAGTGCATGTGTGGGGAATGTGCGCGTGTGGGTGCGTGGGCATGTGGGTCATTATGTTAGGGTTTTTTTGTGCTCATGCATGCGCGCGTGCGTGTGTGCGTGTTTGCATATGGGTGCATGTGTGCATGCGTGCGTGTTTGCATATGTATGCATGTGTGCACGCACCCATGTCTGTGTGCATGCGTGTATGAGCATCCATGTGTACATGTCTGCATGTCTGCATGTGTGCATGTGCGCATGTCTGCGTGTGTGCATGTGTGCATGTCTGCGTGTGTGCATGTGTGCATGTCTGAATGTCTGAACGGCTACGTGCATGCATGGTGGCCATGGAATGGGATATGGCTCTCACAGGTGGAGGTGGATGCATCGGAGCAGGACAGGGTAGCAGCCACGCTCCTAGAGAATTTCAACTGCGTCCCCACCTTTCTGCCGGCCGACCTCAAAGCCAGGTCACTGCACCCGCCCCTGCACCCGCCCCTTCACTCTCTTTGGCTTCTTATTCCCTTCTCCACATTCCCTTCCTCTCCCGCATCCTCTCCCCCCCCCCCCAAGCTCCCTCCCACCGAACCCACCCCACTTTGTTCCCATTCATTTCCCGTCTTGTGCGTCCTTGCGCGCCCTGCTGCCTCTGACGCTTCTTGAAACTCTCCTTGTTGCTCTTGCGAGCTCCTACTGCCGCCCTCCCGCCCCCCTCCCCTTCCCATCTCACTTTCCAAACGTTTCAAAACTGTCCCTTGCTCCACCACCCTCCATCCACCCCGCTTTCCATTCCACCCACCACAAACACACTCCCACCAACCTCCTCCATCAACCCACACCACCCTCTCACACTCCCCCCCGTCCTCCTCCCCATTTCTCCTCTCCCCTTCCTCCCCTCCCCGTCAGATTCTACCACGGGTTCTGCACGCAGCAGCTCTGGTCGCTCTTCCACTACCTCCTCCCGCTCGGCTATATTGGTGCGACTTTTGAGAATTCTCAAAAGTCGCACCAAAAGTCGCACCTGTTGAGAATTCTCAAAAGTCTCCCCTTCCTCCCCTCCCCGTCAGATTCTACCACGGGTTCTGCAAGCAGCAGCTCTGGCCGCTCTTCCACTACCTCCTCCCGCTCGGCCCGTCCCATTCCTCGGGTCTCTTTGACCGGGAGCTGTGGCAGGCGTATGTGAGTGCGAACAAGATATTCAGCGACAAGGTGATGGAGGTGATCAGCCCCGACGACGACTACGTGTGGGTGCACGACTACCACCTCATGGTGCTGCCTACGTTTCTGCGCAAGAGGTTTCACCGCGTGCGCCTGGGCTTCTTCCTGCACAGGTGGGTGCAGGGGAGGAGGAGGGGGGTTGGGGGGGAGTGGTTGGAAGAGGTGGGGAGGAGGAGGAAGGGGAGGGGGGGATGGAGGGAGAGAGAGTGGAGAGAGTGGGTGTGGGGGAGGGGACGGGGTGTGTTGTGATATGGTGGGGCAAGGACAGCGGGAATGAGATGCCTGTGGTCGTATGTGGGACTCTCTTCTTGCTCTGACCACTACTCCCTTCCCCCCTGTGTGCCTTGCTTTACCTGGATGTAGCATGCCATGCGTGTTGCAACAACAGTGTCTGTCCCTATGGAGCATACTGCATGAACCATCGTGGGCTGATGCACCTAGCTCTGCACACACACACAGCCCCCAACATCGCTGCTTTATGCTGCATCCCCCCCAACCCACTTCTTTCAACCCAACCCAACCCAACCCACTTCTTTCAACCCAACCCAACCCACTTCTTTCAACCCAACCCAACCCAACCCAACCCTTTTCCAATCCATAAATCCCAATCTCCACGCCATCCCCACCCCGTCCCACCCAACCCAACCCCATCCCCACTCCCTCTCTCCCCCCCTTCTCCCGCCCACCAGCCCGTTCCCTTCCTCCGAGATCTACCGAACCCTCCCCGTGCGAGACGAGATCCTGCGCGCGCTGCTCAACGCGGACCTCATCGGGTTCCACACATTCGACTACGCGCGCCACTTCCTCTCCTGCTGCTCGCGCATGC